ATGACAAATGGAAAAGAAATTGAAGTTGTCACAGATTTTATTTTACTTGTATCTATAATCAACACCCATGAAAACAGCAGACAATAAATCAGATATCATATTGCACTGGGCAACTGTGCTAAGAAAGACTTCTTTAAAATGTTAAGATGTCACATTGAAGACTAAGGTGTCCCTAGATCACGTCATGTTATTTTCAATTGTCTTATATGCATATGAAAACTAGACAACAAATAAGGAAGGCAGAGAATTTGAATTTTTGTGTTGGTGAACTAAAGTAACAATTCTGTGGACTGCCAAAAGAATGAATAAATTTGTCCTGGAGGAAATACAGCCTGAATGGTCCTTAATGGCAAGAATGGCCAGACTTCATCTCACCTACTTTGGTCATGTGATCAGAAGAGATCAGTTCCTGCAGAAGGATATCATTCTAGGTAAAGTACAAGGTCGAGGAAAAAGGGGAAGACCCTCAATGAGATGGACTGGCACAGTGGCTGCAACAATTGGGTCAAGCATAACAAGGAATATGATTCATATAACAGCTAATTTTAAAAGTCAGGTTCATTGATTTTTAATATATTTGCAGAAGAATCCACTTCTTATTTTGTTGATAAAGAAAACTGGACAGAGCTATGATTGTGCGGTATGTGGTCATTAGTTTGGCTGGATGGTCTGGGACTTGGTAGAAACATAATTGGAAAGTTGGTGTCATGAATGTGAATGTGGATAAATCTATCTGAATGGGCAATAATATGAAGACATACGGGTCCCATGTGAATATTCACCAAAAGTGATCTTAGCAAAGGAGGATTTTAATAGTCAGGTTAATAGGGTGACTTCTTCTGTGAATACCAGTCAGCTTCATTTCCCACCCAATTGGCTCTAGGATGGAGTGGCCACAACTGCAGTTATGGGACTTATGAAAGAGTTCAATGACCTGAATTTTGACTCATCAAGGTCAATGTGGTTATTTCACAGGCTGCAAAGACCACCACTGAGTACTGTTATGATGCCATTCCCCTGAGTGATCTACCAGCCGATTGGCAGATTTTTATATTACATAGTTTCCATCATGGAAAAGATAGTGTTGTTCTTACTGGCCTAGACACAACTCTGCATATGAATTTGATTTCCCTTTATACAATGATTCTCCCAAAATTACTATCCATGGAACTACTAAATGCTAAATCAACCATGATTAGATTACACACAGCACTGTTTCTGACACTTCTTTTTCTGCCAGATCTCTAACATTTCAATATTCTGTCACATGGAATTCTCACACTGATCTATATAAAATTCTGTCATCCTTTTAATAATGTCCTATCATTGGACTTAGAGTATAATCTTGTACATTAATATCTTATTGCCTGTATTAAACCCTCAATGTGTATACAACTTTGACTCACAGAAATAAGAAATCTAGACCAGTATAATTCAGATCCGATGTAGAATTATTTTTATTAAAAAGTTATGAATCCTGATATATACTATGCTCTCATATTTGTAATTATTTACTTGCTTATAAGATTTTAAGAGAATTGAGCAAGTTTTACTCCCAGAAAGAGGAAGGCAGATTTCAGAGAATTAAATTTATTAACATATGACCCATAGCTAATTAGCATCAGAGCTAGTACTGTGTTCTGTATCATTAGATTTATTTTCTGATCCT